TATTGGCCACATTCAAACTGGAGTACCTGGTTTTACATAACAATTGTCTCTGCAAGTGTTGAAACAGTAATATGAAAAAAGTAGATCCTAAACCTGCTGTAAAGGGAAGAGAGGGATGTTTTTAAAATCTGAAAGGCCCAGATTGCCAATCCAGGCAGATCAAATTCAGTGATTAATTGACTTTTTCTCAGCAATTATGATTTGTCTCCAAGCATTACTCTTGTAGATCACATCATCCCTTCTATAAAACAGAGAGGGGCACCTCACAGCAGAAATTTTTCCCCCTAAATTCCTTCTCTACCAGTACTTAAAATTTGGAACACAGCAAATTTTAAGTACTGGTAGAGAAGGAACTTAGGGAAAAAAACCCCTGTGAAATGAAGGCTGGTATTGCACAAATACCAAACTATAGTTTCAAGATGCACAAATCACTGTTCTTAATTCTGATTACTTCACTAGTAAGTAAGTGAAATTACTTTAATTGGAGCTTCTAGAAGCCCTTCTGGGAAATGAGAGGTAGTTTGATGCAGTGGAATGAGTATTTTAAAGAGCACTGGGCTCAGCATCAGGAAATGTGGGTTCCGGTGATGATCTCTGTCTCTCAATGAGTAAGCAAGAACAAGTTGTCTCTAAGCGTTTCATTTTCCTCATCTATAAAATAACTACATTAGAGGAGTATCTTGTGACTTATGTGCTCTGTGATTCTGGGCTAAATGGAAGCCAAGTTAGACTGTGTAATTCACAGGAAATTAGGAGGCTGAAGAAAACTTGGCAGCCAGTATCTCCCTGGATGTAGCTTGCGTTCTGCTTTCTTGTTTCTCTAGTCATTCTTTTGTTTTTAGAAAGCCAAAAATGACCTGCACTTCTTCCCAAGGTTTGGAGATCCAAAGGACCTGTCCTTGTTCCCTTCCTACCCCATTGCTGAGGCTGAGCAAAAATGAGCCCCTCACCTCAAGCTTCAACAGCTTTCATTGAGTATCATCAGTGAGGTTCACTCACACATTCCACATTTACAAAGCACCACTATGTGCCAGGGTGCAAGGGACTAGAAAGTCCTTTCTACTTGATTATTCTTGGGAACAGAAGAATGTCAAGATGCAGTGGAACTCTAGAAACCTCTGAGTCTCAGCCAGATCTTAGAACTGAATTTCCGGTCAACCAAGGGTGAGAATAAATTCGGAGACATGATTTGTTATTTGTTAAGGTTGTGGGGTGGGGGGTTCACACAGAGCATTGTCTTCTTGTTGCTGTTAGCAGTGTTCATCTTCCTACTTGTGGGGAGTAACAGACTACTTTTGGGAACACAGTACTCAAAAGTGTCAAAGAAAAACACTGCAACTCCAGACCCATTGGATTCTAGAGAACAGGAGTCTCTTTTCTGGATTGTTCTTGTTTATTTGGGGGGTAAATATGGATAGGAATCAAACAACTTGTAGAGAGATCCACAGCAGAATCAAGAACAAGCCTGCAGACACTGTTTCTTTCATTCTAGCACTTAGCAAGCACCTACTATGTGCCAGACACTGCTCCATGACCCACCTTCCCTCTCACCATCCACTGGGCAAACAACAGCCATAGGTTGAATTATGATTTGGAGGCAAATGCAAACAACTTCCTCCTTCATGCAAACAAACAAACAATAACTTGTGTCAGAGTGTCTTTTGGAACTGAACCTCAAAACTCAGCCAAGCTCAGCTGGTAGATTTTCCCAGTCATTTCCTGGGTCTGAGTATTTCTTAACTCTGCATATCAGTAAGGCGAAGAGTATTTTAAATGACTCTAGATGTTGAACAGCCTCTGTGAGAGTTGATCCCTGGTTGGGGAAGGGGTCTCTTTAACACCAACTCTATCAGCTCTGATTGTGGATGGGAAAGCGTATGCTTTCACCTTTGGTATTTTAATTTAGAAGTATGTGTGTGTGTGTGAAGGCGGTGTTAATGGAGAAGATGTCACTGTTTGTAAAGAACCTAGTGAATGGCAGGACTAGCAGTCAACCTCAGATAGTCTGAAACTTAGAAGAGTGCTCTGTACCCCTGTCTCTCTCATACAACCTAGTTAACAGGATTCTCTTTCACAAGGCATTAGCAGAGGAATGAGCTATAATACCATACAGTCCTCAGAGGACTATAGAATCGGTACCTTCTCCTAACACAAGGCCAGCTTTCCAGGGCAATCCTGGACAGCCCATCTGACTGCACACTGGTTTAGGGCTGTTTGCATATATTTCCAGTGTCCTGTGTTTCATCCCAATCTAAAACATTAATCACTTTTTATGTGTCTGCTCCCCATTACCTTGAAAAAGGAGTCATGTCATTAATGTCCTGTATCCCTAGGTTCTGGCATATAGTGGATTTGGCTCAGTATATATATAGTGGATCAGATCTGGTTCAGTATCTGATGAGTGGGTAGACTGACAGATGGACAGAAACACCCTTTGATCCGTGGTTCTCTCATAGTCTTGTTTCTTATCTCTTGGATGTAAACATCCTTCGATAAAAGAAACCTTCCCTGCGTTTTAGGCTTGATTTTGGTTGAGAGTGCCATACTTGCAAGCGCCTACAAGGGAAATTAGGGGCTATGTTTAAACCTGGTTAGAAGAGTTTCAGAACCTCTGAAGTTGTGGCTGTCCCCAACACCCTCCAAAGCTATAAACTTACCCTTGTAACTTAAGATCTTGTCTCTGAATAATTCCGAGACAGAATTATGATATGGCATTTACCTCATATCAGTCATTTTTTTAATGGACTCACAGGAAAAGTCTTTGAAAGTTAAGACTGAACAAGGTGAGAATCCTTTTACCAATAACAATCTGGAGCCCAGAGAGGTCTAGTCACTGGCCCAAGGCCACACAGTTTGTTGGCACAGCCCTAAATCCCTATCTTGTGGTTTCCAGTGATTAGCCTGGCTGTGCATCCCGTGGCCCCTCAAGACATCTGCAGGTGACTTCCCTTTTTCATTTGCCCAACATTTATGCAGCTCCTGCTGTGAATCAGGCAGCATTCTGGGGCCCGTGGATAGAAAGATGAAGAGCCACAGTCTTTGTCCTGCAGAGGCTTTCTTCTCTGATCTGTACCCATGGCAGCTCCAAGTTTCTATGCCTTAAATCCGAGGTCCCCCCGTGGCCTGCAGCAGCTTTGCCTGCTTCTTTGGGACCCGGTGGGCACTGGGGCCTCAGCCCCTCCCGCCTACCCTGGAGCTTGTTGCCGCCGTTACCACTGAACCAATCATGCCAGAAAGTCATCACGATGATTTCAGAACTGTATTGTGATTTATGCAAAGCGCGCCGATAATTACAGCCGGGCGCGTAGAACACAGGATGCATATGCTGCGGGTGTGCGCGCGCAGTGTTGTGCCTTTTGCCAGGGCTGAATGGGGTGTGTGTGTATTCCGTAGGCTTCTTCTTGACATCCTGCTTGATTAGGGACTGGTGGCAGGAAAAAGAGGGAAGATACCCATTTTGATTTTGAGACAATTTGATTAGCCTTGGGAGTATTTTCCAGAAGTTTTGGTCCTTACAAACGAGCCAGCCTGGCGGGAGTGTTTGAGAGTAGGGGAAGAGGAGGTTCGGAGCCCAGGAGAGACATCGTCCTTTTACCTTCAGCCCTCGCACAGGCAAAGCAACTCATAGTTCTCCTCCTTGACACGGACTCCTAAATGCTTCCCCTGGAGACAGGCCCGGGTCTAGTCGCCAACCCCCACACTGCCCTCAGTTTCGCCCTAGATAGATTAGTTCCACCCTTGAAGTTCTTTGTCTTTAACGAAGCACCCTTTTTCGCGTCCCCGTTATGAGGCGGGGGGGTGGTGGTGGCTGAAGCAAGTGGATTTCTGGCGTGAACCAGAACCTGAGGATCCCAAACGGAGCCTGGCATCTTATTGTTTTTCAAATCCTGCCCGAAATTCCTCTCCTCTCTGGGCGCCGAGTTCGAGAAAGTGCTACGCCGCAGGTTGGGCTAGCTGCACAAGCTGGCTGTCAAAACACGCTGATTTCTCATCCTGTCACCTAAAAAAACTTACGCGCTTATGGCCTTGTCCCACAATTCCCCAATCTCGTCCCACCTCGAAAAACCGAGGAGGAGGGAATAACCTGAGAGATAGTGGTCCCCCATCTAGCTCTTTCCCCGGGTTCCCAGCCTTGGTCGCAGCGCCCAACCAGGGCGGACACAGGCTCTGGTGTCTGTGGTGTGCGCGACCCCGAGCCGGAGGCCTAGCCGAGGCTGGGAAGAAAGTTGCAATCACGTGCTGTCGCAGCCCACGGGAGCGCACAGCCCGCTCCCCCTGGGACGCCTGGGCAGAGGACCTGCTGCTCCCTCCCAGGGCTCAGGGGACACCAGCATTCACTTGCACGCACACGCAAACTCTGATCGAAAGCCCGGAATGACACCGAGTCTGGAGAAAGAGGGGCCGGGGTGGGCTGGCAGAATTACCGAGCGTGGGCCAGGGCTCCCCTACCCGCGAACCTCGAGCGGAGGGCGGGAGTTGTGACCCCTGACCTCTGGCCGGGCCCACGCCCTGAGGAGGGACAGGCAAGCCCTTGTTCGACAAGTTCAAGCTGCCGAGAGAGCTTAAATAGAATTAATCTCTTAGAGATCGGGGATCGTCGCTCCCTCGGCATGCGCCCTCCCAATGCCGCGCACAGAGCAAGGCGCGAGAGAGCTCAGGAATCGCGGGAAGGCCAGCAGAATGGGGCGCGGGTAGGGGACGAGGACCGCTCTTCAAGATCCCTCCGCCCGGAGAGCGGGAGCCTGAGGTGGTGCCTGCGGAGGAAGAGCCATGGGAGGGAACGCTCTGCCCTCCAGCCGCCCGGGTGCAGATAATGGAGGCGACAGGAGATTTGCTCAGCGTCGGATGGTCCAGCTCTGCTTGAGGAAGCTATCGGCGCCCTCCCCTCGGCTGCTGCCCAAACCCACCGCGCAAAGGCCTCAGGAACGCGGGACCTTCAGTAGACCCCATCCTCAGCCCTGACTTTCCGTAGATATGTGCAAAATGAGTAAATTACTCACCTCGGGCCAGATCCAAGTTTTACCCAACAGAAGGGGCACGGGACCAAGAATGAACCAACTCACATGGCCATGTCTGGCGCGCACAATCACACACTAGCACACAGCCACCCAATTTCTTCCTCGAATCTATCTGGCACTCTGGCGAGAGGGGGAAAAGCGTTTTGAGAAAGCCCCGTCACCCCTCCCCTTCCCTCTTGCCATGAAATATACGAATTCATTTTTATTACGAGCTGCACCGACCTCACCATCACGCACGCACAGAGCCACACTCCCATATTCACACTTTCTAACTTGTAAGCTCCGAGAGCGCCTGCATTTTCTTTGGAAGCCGCTTGGAGGTTCATTAATATCATTAGCATTTAACCCCCTCCCTCTTCCCATCTCCTCCCCGCACATGGCTGACGTCAGACCCCGCCAGGAGTTGGGGGAAAAGCTAAGTGGGCCAGGGACGCCCTATTCCCCTCCCCGCGGCTGCCTGTCAGAGCGCTTCTGGAGATATTACAAGGGGACCCAGCCCGCAGCGACAAGCACAAAGTCACGGGGTAATGAACTTCGGGGACCCTTTGCTGCTGCGTGCGCGGCTCTCCCCGGAAACCGGGACCTGGCCGCCTCTTCCCTCGGAAGATTTCCCAGCAATCTAGTTTTCTCACTATGCGCTCGGGTTCCGGCAGCGCAGAGCCGGTCTACCTCTAAGACTGCGGTTGCGTTTTCCTTCTTTCCTTGGAAGACCAGCGGTCGGCAGAAATCTGCCCACACTCTGCATGCCTATGTAGAGGGAGAAATTGAAGACTGAGTGACAGGAATGGGGGAAAAAGGGGATTTTGCCCTTTTTGCTCCGTAGGAAGGCCATTTCGTGTCTCCGTCTCTGTCCTTAACATCCCTCTCTTACTGTCCTCCCTTCTTCCTCAGTCTTCCCGTCCATCTTTCCATCTGTCTGTCCATGCATGTGTCCATATCAAGCAAGCAGCATTCCTAGCAGCTGCGGTTTTGCAAGAGCCGGGAAGAAACTTAAGGATGCTTAAATTTCCACTGTGGAACGAATTCTGAGCCCCCAGGGAGCAGCGCAGCGCGCGACTGACACCACCTATCCCTCCCAGGAGCCTTGCAGGCTGGAGGGCGGCTGGAGAGCGGCGGCTCCCGGCGGCGAGGCGGGCGCTGCCGGCCGGGACTCGGGCAGCGCCCACCAACCGCTCCGCCCCGGAACAGCCAGCATGAGCAAGCCGGCCGGATCAACAAGTGGGTACCTCTCGGGCCGCCGTGGGGCCTAGGCGCGCAGCCTGGGGCGGGCGAGCGGGGAGGCTGGGGAGGTCCTGCCCGGAGCGCTGCGACTCCGAGCCCAGGAGAGGAACTCCAGAGGGCGTGTGCGTTCGGCCCAGCTCCTGTAGACCGTGAGCTGGAGCATTTCATGGTGAGGGGAGAGCTGTTTCGTTGCCTCTGGATTGCTTGATCTCCACCCCCCCCCCCGCACCCCATCTGGTGCGGTGAGAAGGTTGCGACCCGCGCAGCCCACCAGTCGAACGAGTTGCCTCCCTTTAGTCACCAGGTGCTGAGTGGGGGAGCCACGGGGGCGGGAATTGGGCCGCAGCTTCAGGCGGTAGCACAATACACACACGCTCAAAACTCCGAGCTCCAGCGCGCAAAAGCAACTCTGTGCAAAGCGGATTTTGAATGGAATGCTTTGCACCCCGTTTCTAGCTATTTCAAATAATCCTGCAAACTGGGAAGCAGAAACAATTTTAAAGTCACATTTTCCTTAATCCTAAATCCGCGTAGGTCATAACTGGGGAATTTAAAGTATGGCGAACCACTCTAGCAAAGAGAGGACCAAATCCCTAATCCCAAGAACTTTTCGAGCCGGAGCACAGCAGAGGCAGGAGTGCGGGGCCTGCTTCCTCCGTGCGCTTCGCTCCTTCCTCGAACTTCCTTCGCTGCTGGCTCTCCCACCCAACGCCAGGCCGCAGCTGACCTCTCACCACCCGAGACTCGGGAGCGCAGGGCTAAGTGTGTGTGCGAGGGCATTTGCTTGCACCGGGCCTGCGGAACCCAAGACTGTGCAGGCCCCTGCGGTGTTGAGCAGGCGCGACAACGGTGCTTAGAGCTCCCGGGGACATTTCAATTCCCGCCATCCCTTGGCCCAGGGCTGCGAGCTCCAGGGTCTGAGGCTGGGGAGAACCGCTGCTGCAGCAGTCCCCACATCCCGAAGTTCTCTGGCCGCCCGTGTTGTTTTCGCAGATAGCCTTTTTGGCGCTCTAAGCGTTCCTTCCCGCCCCCTCCCCCTTTCACTAGCCCTCATTGTCCTGAGTCTTTGAAAGTTGGGAGAATCAAAGATACTTCTGAGGACTGGTAATGAAGTCTCACTTAAGAGGGATACAATTCCTGCCCTCCTACCCCCCTCCAAGAAGGAGGTTGTGTTTTCACTTTGTCCGTTTTGTTTTGCTTTGGGTGCTGACCTTTTAAAAATTAGAGCAAAATGAATGTGAACAAAAAGAAAAGGAGAAATGCTTCGAGCTGGGGCAGAGGGAGCAGAGAAGGAGCCCTAACTGCGGCCGGAATGCAGAGCCGACCCTGGCGCAGGACTGGATTTTCCGTTAGGCTCGGGCCTACCCTGGCCCTGGTTGTTGGAATCCCTGAAAGGCAAAGCGAGCTCGCTTTTTGTTGCCCGCATTCGGGGACGTTGAGTATCCTTCCCAGGAGGTGCAGGAGGCCTTTTCTGTTGCATTCTGAGCCTCCATTGCAAAAACTGCAGCCCGCGGGTCTCCGCAGGCCTCCTGGCTAGCTCGCCCCGGGACAGGCCCTCGCCTCCACCCCTGGAAGTAAGGAGCCCCGGGCTCTTTCGTCCATTTCGGGGTGCGGAACCGCGGGGGCCCTGGAAAGGTGAGGCCTCAGAGGCGAGGGAGGAGTAGGCGGGAAGCTCTGCCCGCCTGCGGCTGCGTCCCCGCTGTGGACCAGGAGGCAGGCTGGCCCCCTAGACTTTGGGGGAAAAGCCACAGCGGGCTCATTGCGGAAACTTTGGCGCTTGCAACTTCCCAAGGGCCTGAGTGAGACCTTGGAAGCCTCCAGCTCCGGCTCAAGTCGGGACGCGGCTGCTGAGGTTTCTCAGGCCCGCAGGACAGCGGCCCCCGCCCGTGGCGCCGCTGCTTCTAGGCCTTTTTAGACTCGTGGCAGCAACCAACCCAAGACCTGCGTCCCTCGGGCCCGGGGCGGCGAGGAGGTCGGCGCGCAGCGGGCCGGGTCAGGACTGGGTCGAGCAGCCGGAGCTGCAGCCCCCGCCTTGCCCGGCTTTGCGCGGCTGGAGAGCAGAGAGATGTCACCAGGAGCCCCGCCTGGGTGGTAACGAGACCCTGGCCAGTCACCCCTGCAGCCCAGACTAACTTCTTTCAACAGCCTCTGATGGTAATTACAGTAATCGAAGCTGCCATATATCTTTAGGCAATTATGACACACAAAAAGCCCGGAGAGGACCCCCTGGCGAGGGAAGTTAAGAACGGTTTTCCAGCTTCAGGAAACTCCTGCTCGCCTCACATCGGAGCTCGCTCGGCTTGCTAAATGAGAGGAGCTTTGCAACGGGGTCAACCAGTTTGTCTCGTGACCCCAAGTCACCTTAACGTGGCTGGGTGGCGGAGTCTGAGGCGAAGACCCGCTATGCCCCGGAATTTTCGCGTCCCTCCCTCCTGGGCCCCGCCCCAGCCGGGTTGTCTCTCTCTAATCTGCCCCAGGAGCTGCCGCTCGGAGGTCTGCGCAGAGGCAGGACTCGCACTGGCGGTGGCCTAGGGGGCAACAGTCCGGAAGCGCAGGCGGGGGGTCCTAGGAGAGGTCCCCCACACCGCACTGGTCTTCCCTCCACCCTCATTGGGTTCTCCAGAGATGCTGTCATGGGCCTCCTGTCCGGATGGGAAGTGGGGAAAAAGAGACCCCACGACCGCTCCTCCCACTCACTCATCTTGGCATCTTCAAAGTGCCACGGGGAAGAGGACGGCTGGGGTGACAGTGCTGCTGGGCCCTAAACATGAACCCTAGCGCGGTCAGAGGGCCGTGTTATGCCGAGGATGGTTGCAAAATATGGAAACCAAGTTTACTGCTTCTGAAGCCCGCGGGTGCCGTGCAGCGGAGCTCCAGACCCGGCTCCTGAGCGACCAGAAGTTCCCTTGGGCGCAGTGACTGGCCCGAAGGAATGGAGGACTAGACCGGCTGTGCCCTCGCCTGGCTCTCTCCAGCCCCTCCCTCCCGCAGTACAATCTCCCCTCCCGCCCTGTGGGAGAGGGGGCGCGGAGCCCGTGGCCGCCGCGCCGCGCCGCGCGCCTCCCCTGCCCGCCTTTGTCGCAGTCCGAATTCCCATGCTACTCTTTTTGACGGGTCACTGGTGGCTCTATAGGCAGGTGCTGCCGCGGGGTTGTAATTACCCCGGCCGAGCGTGGTCGTTACCAAACACCCCTCACCCCCAAGCACGGTCCCCCCTGCTCTCCCTCTCCCCACCCCCTCCACCTGAGATGGGGCTGAGACCCAGGATGCGAGACCTCCCGGACGCCTCGGGTTCCAGGAGCAAGTTTACACCTCCGGTGCCTCAGGGCCCTCCCCTCGCCACGCCCTCACCTCCCCTGTTTCCCTCCCAGGCGTTTCACTGCCGCTCCTCCCCACCCCAACCTTCTGGTAGTCCCCAACCCAAGCTCCTTCAACAACAGCTGTCGAATTTTGGGGATGCCAGAGGCCATCGGGGCCCAGACTGGAGGCCTTTGGATGGGTAGAAGAAGAGAAAAGCAAGTGTTAATAAGTCAATTGTTATCAACTATTGTTATTTTTAAAATTAAAGTGTTAATTAAGTTAACAGTTTAATACTCCCTTTGTTTTGCGAGAGGAAGCATTTCTAAGTTCCTATAAACCGCTTCAGGCACTTGTTGGACTCTTGAACCTTAGAGGAAAATAATTCCTCCCTTTCTAAACCGCCACATATTACCATCTCCCTAACACTCCTCCAGGGTCGGTGGCCGCCCCAGGCTTGAGGGAGTTCCAGGGAAAGTTCTCTTGAGCTAGGGTCCATGGGGAGAGGAGGATGTAGCCTAGAGAAATCAGCCAGATTTTAAAAAAAATATCAGGCTCAACATTGTTTGAAAAACCGAGACGAAGAAACCCACGTAGGACCAAGAGTGAGGACGCCAGTCTTCTAGGGAGAAAGGGCTTAGGAAATGGAGGGAGAAGGATGACTGTCCCAAGCTAACCCGACAGGGAACTAACAACTTGCGTCTCTCCCTCTCCCTTGCCTAGTCCCGAACCACTTTGCGGAGAAAATAATTTTTTCCTAAAAGAAATAATTTCTCCAA